CTTTTTGTCCGGTCGGGTCTTGGAAGACCGGAAGCTGTGTGGTTCATAAAAACATTTTCTTACTCAATATCTTACCCTAAGCCTAACCCTATCCCTTTTATTTTAAATTGTATAATGTCGGAGTTTTTTTGCCGTCCGCAAGGAAAATAAATGGGGCTCAGAGCCTCAGAATACTGAAATCTGTATTTTTTGTCATCTTTTTTTCCTTCTAAATTGTTATTATTTGGTGCAGGCACGAAACATACTACCAATAGAAATACATTGCTTCTAAAATCGTTCTGTGTCAGAATACTGAAATCTGTATTTTTTTAAATCTGTTTTTCCTTCTAATTTGTTATTATTTACATTGCTTTTAAAATCGTTCTGTGTGACACGAAAAAAATGGCGAAATCGTGTTGGTGAACACGAATCAATAGATTAATTTCGTGACTATAACACGAAATGCCGTGAGACTGTGTTGGACAACAACAACAACCAGAAGTCACAACACGCTTACCGCAATAGTGAGGGTCCGTGTAGGAACAGCTAGCAACTCCGTCACACGGATTAGTTGCTGCTGAGTGCTCTCAGCAGCAACTAGATAAAATAAGACCTTTTAATCTACAAGAGCCCCAAGAAACCAAACCTGGAGTTCTTTTATTATCTGGAAAATAGAAGCTAATGTAGTGGACTGTGAATGTTTGGCTGACTTTTTACACTCAAATGAGCTTTATTTCATTGCAACACTAACAGGCATTACCCGGAAAATGAAAATGTCCATTTCCCCGGAAAATCACCCTGGCCCATATCGCAGGCTGGTCAGTAGAGCAGCTCAGGGACTTGGCTCTTGACGACATTATTGACAAAGTCTCATTTCCTGCTTCAGAGGAGACTTCGTTGAACTTTGCCTAGGAACAACACTTGCAATTATTATTTTAGGCTGAATCTCCCCTTTAGGAAAGAATAGGTTTCCTCTAAATATATATGTCTGTCTCTGTTGGGTTCTGTGGTAGTTTAGTATTTCACTTTTATATAGTTGTAGGACTTGTGAGAGACATATTAAAGGAGAGATGATCAACACTGAGCTGCAGAGGCTGAGCTCTCCTGACTTTTCGGACCAGTAGTTTGTGTCAAGCCACAGAAACGGAATCCAACAATTCCAAAGATTCAATACTCTCAATATTGTCTTTCTTCAGACCTTACCTGGCTTTTAAGTTTCCATGTCTCTATTTTGTTCCAAAAAGCTAACCCTAAATCTCTGTTTAAAATATTACTATTTTGATAAAAACAAGAATACAGAGACGTCTGAATAGTGTCCGTTAGCGGACCTTGCCGAGCTGGATTTTGATGCGAAACTATTTTGCATCCACTTTGTAGGCTCTGCTAACCAAACAGACTGCGTTTTGCAGTTTTCTAAAGAAGCACTGTTCCAAATAAACTTCACATGTGGCACTCACGCCATGCGTCAAAAGGGTCCGTTCAAGGGTTAGCCAGATAATCAAAACTCATATATACACACACACACACACACACACACACACACACACACACACACACACACACACACACACACACACACACACACACACACACACACACACACACACACACACACACACACACACACACAGCTTCTTTTTTTTTAAAGTTCCTGAGATACCAAGTCCAGAGGCCTGTACTACGAAGCCGGATTTTCGCTTAGCGGGCTAACTTCAGGGAAAACTCGGGGTTTCCGGTCCTACGACGCTGGTTCTCTTTTTAGCGGGCTAGATCTCCATGGTAACTTATGCTGAGCGGCTAACCTGCTCCGGAGCAGGTTAGGTTGCAGGCTAAGAGATCAACTCAGTGAAAGCACCGCCTGCTGACCAATCAGAGCTCTGTGTGTGGAGTTTAAAGCTATCAAGTCATATTACAGGATAAAGGAAATACAGAAAAACTGCCGTTGCAGGAAAGACGGCCGGCAAAAATCAACTGACTGTGTGAACGTGAAAATTAATAGAATATCCCCTCCCTTCTTCAGAGCAATCTGACTATTATAACATTAGCGTTAAGAAAGCTTACTTAAATATCTGCCACAACATAAGTAACCGGATCAGAGTAACATTAAGTACAGTCCGCGGCACTGTGAGTGCAGACGTCGATGTGTTCCATTATCACTCATATCACATCACATCATAATGTATCATATATTTCCTTATTTGAGACAGCTTCTTGAGCCGTATCTGGCGTGCAACACTCACAGTGTCACATACTGTATGCAGAAGTATTATTTTAAGCAACACATTAAGTTGACGAAACACTTGAGTCAGATGTAATTAAAGTCAGATCCACTCGTGTCTTGGACGGGGCAGTGATTTCATAAACCTGTTAATGTACGCATTCAAACGCTTTTTCTGTTACCAGCTGTATTCACCTTGCAGGTGCAGCTATGTGGCTTTTATCCTGGATAAAGTGTTTAAGACATGGATGTTTAAAGTTTAACTTCTTCATATTTGACTAATATTAAAGTTCACTTTTCATTCAGGAAGTATGACGCTGCGCTGTCAGTACGCTTGTCCATGTTTGTGATTGGTTGAATGCTCCAAATACCACCCCTTTCCAGGCCTCTGGAGAATGAGACTGACAACAAAAAAAACACCTCTGTGTCACGATTTTAGTTGTGTCTGTCTTGTCATGGGTTTTATTTTGCAATTCTGTTCTCCCCTGTCTCCCTCCATGTTGGTCACGGTCAGTTTTTGTTTACCTACCTGTTTTTTGTTTACCTACCTGTTTATTTCATGTCATGTTTTTTCAGTCATCAGTTTTTTTTAAATAAAGCTCGACTTTTGTTCCTTCACTATTTTTTGTCTTTTTTATTCTGCATTTGGGTCTTACTTTTTCCACGAATCCTGACATGAATGAACCGACCAAATTTGGAGCCAGCAGATTCTGATTTTTTGGCTCTACAGGCGGAACATCTTGGGTACTCTCTGGAGTACATTTTTTATACCTGGTATGACGCCTCATCTAGACGGGGTAGAGAGGCTGCTTTGAAGGAGGCACGCCAGGAGGTTGCTCGCAAGCCCTGGCTCAGGAGCTTGTTGCCTGAGTGGCTACAACTTTTTACAAGTAGTCCTGAAAACTTGTCTCAAGCCTCTAACCCTTTCCTGGGGTCTGGCCTGGCCTTGGGAGGTCCGCGGATCCTCCGGAAGGTTTCTGGAAGATGCAAGGCCAGGATTCCAGCCCGTGCTCCAGCGGCTCCAGTTCCGGCTCCAGTACCGGTCCACGCAGCCATGGTCCCGGCTCCAGTTCCGGCTCCAGTACTGGCTCTCCGGCCGACGCCAGCCCCCTGTGTCCTGTCGGTGTACCGGCTGACTCCAGCTCCTCGTCTCCTGTTGGCTCTCTGGCCGACGCCAGCCCCCCGTACCGGCCGACTCAAGTCCCTTCTTCATCGGGGGTCCCGCCGTCTCGAGTCCCCTCTTGAGTCCCCTCTCAAGTCCCTTCTTGAGTCCCCTCTCGACTCCCTTTTCAAGTCCCTTCTCAAATCTCTTCTCATGTCCCTTCTCTAGTCCCAACTCATGTCCCAACTCCATGTCCTGTTCCATTGAGGGTCCAGCCGACACCTGTTTCGGTGGGGGTCCTGTCAACTCCATGTCCTGTGTCGTTGGGGGTTCCGCTGAGGGTCCTGCCAACTCCATGTCCTGTATAGTTGGGGGTTCCGCTGAGGGTCCTGCCAACTCCATGTCCTGTGTCGTTGGGGGTTCCGCTGAGGGTCCTGCCAACTCCATGTCCTGTTTCGTTGGGGGTTCCACCGGATTTCCTGCCAACACCATATCCTGTCCTGTTGGGGGTCCCGCCGACACCTGCTCCGCCGGATTTCCTGCCAACACCATGTCCTGTCGGAGGTCCCGTCGACACCAGCCCTTGCTCCGTCCGGGGTCCCACTGACAACAACCCATGTCCCGTCCAGGGTTCCTGTTACGCCGTTGGCTCCGCCGGCTACGAACTCTGTCCTGCCGGGTGTCCCGCCGACACCAGATCCTATTCCGCCGGTGGTCCAGTCGGCCACGAACCCGGTCCGTCCTTGTGCCCGGCTCCCTGACTATGCCCACCGCGGCCTTAGCCGCTTCCCGGCCTTAGCCGCTTCCCGGCCTCTGCCGTGCCCACGGGCCGGCCGCCCGAGACCACCTCCTGTTCCTCTGCCTTGCCCCCGGGCCGTCCGCCAGAGACCACCTCCTGGTCCTCTGCCGTGCCTCCGGGCTGTCAGCCCAAACCCGCCCTCCGGACCCCCTCCACCCACCCTTTTGGAAGTGTTGGACGTGATTTGGACGTCTTGAATCCGTCCCTTGAGGGGGGGGTTCTGTCACGATCTTAGTTTTATGTCACAATTTTAGGTTTGTCTGTCTTGTCATGGGTTTTATTTTGCAATTCTGTTCTACCTGTGTCTTGTCTGTCTTTCCTGTCTCCCTCCATGTTGGTCACGGTCAGTTTTTGTTTACTTCGTGCTACCTGTTTATTTCATGTCATGTTTTTTCAGTCATCAGTTTTTTTTAAATAAAGCTTGTCTGTTGTTCCTTGACTTTTTTTTGTCTTTTTTATTCTGCATTTGGGTCTTACCTTTTCCACGAATCCTGACACTCTGGCTACGGGTGTACCTCGTGCAAGGTCATAAAGATAACCCCTATGAAATTATTGGGAATTAGTTGTATGTCATTCAGAGCAGTGAACTAATCTTGATGCCTGCAATTGGTTGTGTGTCTCTTTTAAAGTGCATTCTGTAATTAATCAAATGTATTTTTTTTGTCATGGTGCTCAAATTGGAACGACTGTTAATTTGATTAATAAAGTTAGTAAATAAAGTGAATTAAGTCAGAATCTTCACGAAGACACAACAATCAAGTAACAGAATCTGGCAGTATTCTGCAAGAATAATTACAGATAGCTGGAAAATCAAATATGCAAATTAATCATTTCCTACAGAGGTACGGTATGAAATTGCCATCTGGAGCACTGGCTGAAGATTCTGATGTTTTTTTTGGCAGGTGGCCAAAGACTTTGGCTGGCATCCTTGCCTTCTTGCCCTGCGCTCCTGCCACCTTTGGCTCGGCCCCCCACCCCTCTGGCAGCGCCGCCCACCCCTCCAGCCAGAGGGGGAAGAAGGCTTGGCGGAGCTGTGACCAGAGTGGGCGCTGGGTGGAGGAGGACTACACCCAGTGTCCGTATGCCAGCGAGCTGACCCGCGTGCTGCACGAACTCACACAGGTACTGATTACGTAACGTTTCTGTCACCGCTCCTCACTGTACAGTTTTCTTTGTTCTCGTTGTTCTTTTGTTTGATTTGCTCTTTTACTGCACTGTTAGTATAAACGTTGTATTATTATTATGTTTATTGAGCTTTAATCTGTTGCAACTCTAGCGCAGGACTTTCCTTCTGGATAAACAAAGTCTTATTTTATTTTAAACACATGGAGAGCTCGTGCTCAGATTTATTCACAGAATGTATTCCACACTTGTCCCCCTAATGTCAATGAATTGGTTTAAGGAACTCAGACTAGTGATGCACTATTGATTTTTTCATAACCAATAATTCATAATTACCTGCTTTTATAGCAGATACCCAATTTGACGTTGGATTTTTAAAAATACCTTCATTACCTTGTTTTAGGCACATCCGAGCGTAAGAAAAACACTGATTTATCAATGTTCATTAAAAGAAAATTCTAAAATAATCAAAGGCTTTTATTGCAGATAACAAACCTTTGAAAACGTTTCTTCCTTTGAAACTCTGTAAATGATCAGCAATGCAGACGATATGTGACCTGCTCCATCGAAATCAGTCGCATTGACCCGAAGACACATTTTGAGTTGTATACACTGTTGGAAAGAGGAGATTCCTAGCTTTCTAATGATATCAGGATTATTTTTGTACCCCAAATATTAAGCAAAATACGTCACATTATATAATGACTGTCACCGAGTCATCATTTTGAGAAAAAGGCCTTCAAAGTTTCCTCTTCTCTGGAATCCATCGATCTGATTGGTTATCAGCGGAGCAAATGATCAAAGTACTACGGAGGGAAGATATTTTCGTTTGGATTACTGGTCTGGGGGAAGCTCGCGAGTGTGTATGTGTGTGTATACGTGTGTGTGTGTTTGTGTATTTTTGCATTTGTGTGTATTGTGTTTGTTTTCCGGGAAAAAACACCGGCTGTTGTTATGCCTGCTGTGACGTCAAGTTACTCTGTTCTCCGCTTGTAATTATGCCGCTACAAGCTTCAAAGTTGTATTTATCATCTGAATTTGCCAAAACAAGTTTAATATTCTGAAAGCCAAGACTTTGTTTAATTGAAATCAGATGAAAACAAACTGTAACGAACCCTGCCGTGTTATCTATAATAGCTTGCATTTATATAGCGCCTTTCAAGGGACCCAAGGTCGCTGTACAGTAATAGGGCAAAACAAACATAACAAAACAAAAGTCAGACAGACAAAACAACAGATCGATTAGGGGCCGAAAGCCTTGGCAAACAGATGGGTCTTGAGAGCCCTTTTGAAGGCGTCGAGTGTGGGGATGTTGCGAATCTCCGCAGGGAGAGCGTTCCAGAGGGTGGGGGCTGCCACACTGAAGGCTCTGTCCCTGAAGGTTCGCAGTTTGGTGCGGGGGGTGGTGAGCAGGCCAGAGTCTGAGGACCGCAGGTTCCGGGGTGGGGCATGTGGGTGAAGGATGTCCGATATGTCTATACGCCTTACATTCATAATTTCAGCCGGAGGGAGGGGAAGCAGCGCTGCGGAACAGCAGAGTGGCGAGTGAGAGGTGCCTGTCATCTTCCCTTTACAAGCTTCAAAAATGTATTTATCATGTGATTTTGGAAATAAAAGTTTCATATTCTGAAAGCCAAGACTTTGTTTATTTAAAATCAAACAAAACACCCGAACCCCGAAAAACTATTTTTTTTATGCAAATCCACGTTTATTTTGAAATGAGCCGTTGCGACTTCTGACTGATTTCGATAGAGCGGGTCACATATGTTCGGATCTCTAGGTTTATAATTATTCCCTGTTTTTATTCCCTGATTCCAAACCAGCTTTAAAGAGGCCCTATAGGGTGCTTTTTGGGGTGTTCCCCTTCCTTTAGTGTGTTATATAGTATATATAGTTTTTGTGGATGTAAATGTTCTGCAGAGGCTTAAATGTACTCCTTTGTTAACTTCACTAACAAAGTGACATCCCTATGTAAAGGAATGTTGGTTAGGGACAGGGCATTTCCGACACATCTCTAAGCGGTTGACCAATAACAACAGAGCCGGCCAGCTAACCAATCAGAGCAGACTGGGCTCTGGTTTCAGACAGAGGGTGAAAAGAGGTGCTGCAGCACAGGCAGTATGAGAAACATAAAGAGCTTTTTGAACATTAAAGCATTTAGACATGTCACAGTAGAGACACTAAATACTAATATGAACCTGAAAATTAGGATAGTATATCCTCTTTAAAAAGTGTTAGGGTTACTTGGAGTAATGGAGTGTTCATATCCTGAGCATGTTAAGTCAGTTAAAGCAATTTGGCTCTATATTATCGGCTGCCAATTTAGCGGCCTTAATTCTATATCAGAATAAAACGTAATACTAAACATTTTCCATCACCTCCAATCATAAATCGCTGCTGATATACAGTATATCGTGCAATTCTAACTCATACTTTAATTTCATATTCCTGGAATACAGATACAAACATCTCCACTGGCTCTTGTGTAGCCTGCAGGTATTTGAAGAACTGTACATGTAAGCCTTTATATACATAATACGAACTGACTGACGATAAGCTGTTTCATCCTACATTACACACGGGATTACTGTACCACATTCAAGTTCAAAACTACATGCATGGCATGAAACACCATTACTGTGATGTATTATTTATTAAATGTTGTCAGAGCTACTTCATGTGATGTCTCTGTTGAATTGCACTGATGGACTAAATACTGATGTATGTTTTATTTGATTCCAGATAACTGTGAATACCACCAATGCTCAGCCCTTGGGCCAGCAGTTAGTGGCCTTCACCAGCAGGGCGGCACACTTCACAGATGTCATGGATGTCATCTTCGTCACTCACCTGGTGGAGAGGTTGACGAGGCTGGTGGAGAAACGTAAAGATGTGAGTGAACACACAGAGGGACGCCACAGGCAGTTTACTACGTGACGTGGGATCTAAGCATCAGATCCAGACGTGAACATTTGAAAAACTGTTTATTTTGAAGCATCGTGTTTCAAAGGTGTACGACTTCGCTGGTATTGTTTCCTGCTTCTCCTACATGTGCTTTTTCACAGCTCGCTGAAAGAAATAATTTGCCTTCAAAAGCTCCAACTGACCCTACGTTAAGCCCCTCCCCCTTGCTTCCTGTTGCCAAGACTGTCAATTTTTCCCTCCACATGTAAAATATATATAAGTATTGAAAGCACATTTCAAAATATAATAATTCTGAAATGCGAGCCAGGACAGAAGGACTAAACTTACAGTATACTTTGTTGAGTATTGTGAATAAAGAAGCCATTTTATGAAGCGAAACATTTGACCCGTCAATGCAAGCGCCAGAAACCACAAGCGTACAGGAACAGTAATATCATTGCAGCCAGGTACTTCAATATATATATTCTTTCATTTTGACTAAGTTTGGTTATTACTCCCTATAGCTTCCATTAGCCTAAAAAAAACTAAATGATTACAAAAACGAAAGGAATAATTTCCAGTTGTTTGTGTGCAAAAACAATGAAGATTAATATTTCTAACAAAAAGGGAAGTGCAGATATATTCACTTCAAGAAAGTCATACCATTGTAAGTGCTGGTGAAATAGTTACAAGGACTTAACTAACCTTTAAACTTGGCAGCTTAATTTTTGTGCTGCAGACGGTTTTGTAAATAAAAAACCTACTAACAATCCTATTAATAACAAAGTGTGTATACACATACAGTATGGAAAGCGTAGAAAAATTGCATCAATGACGTTGTCAAATCAACATTTTATTCCCGAAGTAGCTCGGAAGAAGACAAATTAAGAGATTCTAGCAAGTATACTTAGAGAAATCAAGGACTTTAGACAAGATACAACAACTAACAGAACAAAAACAGGAATTGTACAGAGCCAACAGTAGGCTGGAGGAAGCTGAGGGACGAATCGATGAAGCAGAAACTGCAATACAGGCAGCGTTAATGCAACTGATTGACCAGGAAGGACGGCCTATTAGAGGTAACACTCCGATTTTACCTGGAGAGTCTGCACAAACTAACATCTCAATTTTCCTAGAATGTTTACTGAAGGATTGGACAGTGGTTGTCCTAGGGATGGGCTTAATGAAGGTCAACAGAGCAAACAGAAAAGGACTCTTCATTGAATCTGAGCCGCAGACAGCATGATCTGCCCCAAAAAGACATGGCAGCACGCTGTCTTCTGGCTTCAACCCTTTAATCGATTCCAGACAGCTTAACTTTTCACCTTGCGCGCTTCCCTCTCGCTCATGCTGGCGTTGGACCTGAATGGCAATGATGGTTATGAAGATGCATCTGTTTTTGAACAAGCTGTGTTTTACCTTAAGCGAACCTCTCCTCTGTCTGTGGCCAGCGGCAATCGGAGGGCCTTACGTCACACTGAAGGTCAGAATGTAGGGAGGGAATGGTGTTGAGCTTACTCAGTGGAAATAATCAATATTAGCTCTCACTGGTCCAATTATTCATTATAGGTCGCCCGGGAGGAGGTATTATTAGGAGATACTTCCATTGTATCATTCTTAAGACAATGCTGATGAGACCACCCTCATTCATCCAGTCAATTGAAGCAACAATGAAAAGTACAGTAAGTAAATAGCGAGCTGCCATCCCAAGGAAGCGATTATGCCCCATTGGAGCTGCTAATCTAAATGAAATCTCCCTATAATGAATGAAGCCACCATTGCCTCCCCCACAATTCTGACTGTAGATTATAAATGTGCCTGTTGTTGCGGATATGATTGATGTGCATGATGAGTCTACTGCAAGTGTGTTTTGGCTTCTTACAATTTGTCTAGTTTTGCATACAAGTGTGCCTCTGTGTCTGCAGCTGGGGGACTATATATCAGACATCGCCAGTAACATGATGCTGGTGGAGGAGCACGTCCTGTGGATGGCCCAGAATGAGGCCAGAGCGTGCACTCGCATCGTCCAGTGCGTGGAGCGCATCGCCGACCTGTCGCTGACCGGAGACAATCAGGTCATTTCTAAGGTACGGCCTGACTTTCAAACACAAGGCGAAAGTTGTTAATCTGATTACATTTCCCAAAGTCTTACCTTTTTTCTTGCTCCGTAGAATAATGACAAGTTAATTTGGCTCGAGCTGATAGCCAGAAGAATGCATGAAAAAGATGAATTGCTTCTTTTGCTGTCACTTGGTATAAAAGCATCTTCTTGACCCTCCTTTCATGTTTGTTTCTAGCTCCTTACTTTGGTGTTCATGGTCAAATCTGACAGGCCTATTTTAACTGCTTTTACATTAACTCAAAAACCATTAATCATCACCAAAATGACATTTAAGCTGTAAACAATGTCTCAAAAATACTGGTTTACATGAATAACTGCAGTGAATATACAAAGAATAGACACTGACCATTTATTCAAAAATGCACATGGTTGTACTGTATGGTGTCCTATCTGATGGATGAACATACTCTAGGGTTAGCCATTCATTTCCTATGGTGGCCATTTTTCACCGGGAACATCATAGGTGTTACAAAGTGGACTAAACCACAAAAAATTCCATGAAAGTGGTGATCAGTATTGCAAATATTCAAATGCCTACTGTGAGGATATCATAAGGCCTTGAGGCAATCAAATATAAAACACAATATTTATGACTGATGAAAGTAGTGAATCGAACATGAAAGGAGAAAATGACTAATGTAGAAATCTCTTACACCACCCTCCAACCCTTCCACCCTTTCTGCCAAATGTGTGGTCCCCTTAGGTTTCAGCTAACATAGCTCTGGAGGCCTTTCTGATCCGACCGTCCAACTTCCTCGGTCTGTCCTGTACTGCACTTCAGCGCCCCCCCCCCTCATCTGCCACCTCGCCCCTCCCTGACGGCCACTCCCACTCCGACCAGGACAAGATCAGAGAGGGTGACGCCGCGGGGGAGTCGTTGCTCAACTTCAAATGCCACACCATCAACAACAGCGCTTCACCAGCCAGTCAGCTCAGCAAGGTAAGGCACAAGTTAGTGCCCCCCACGTTTTTAATTTGGGTTTGTTGTAAAAAATCCACCAACCTGTGGTCCGGAAGCCCTGCTTCGCCATTGCTTCCTACTTATTCCCAATGGTCTTTTTTTTATTGAAGCCATACTTTTGACACTTGCAAATATAATAGTGAGAAAGATGTTCTAAAAGAGGAGAGGCACATATGAAAACAGCTTGTCCAGCAGCTTGTGGGCACAGTAAAGTGAAGTTTAAGCTACGTGGGAAGGGGTTACCACCTGCCCTTGAGTCTGTTGTTGCCTATTTGTCTCAGGAAAATGACACCTTATTTGGCGCTGTTGGCACGCCATAGATCAGCTGCTCATAGGTGGCATTTTAGCGGGGGCGGAGCCTGCAAATAAGAGGGTACTTTGGGAGTGGGTGAATGCGGGGCCACTCCCCTGTGATGAATACGATGGCTTTGCGGGACAAGGTAAGATGCAAGTTAGTGGGAAACATTTGTAAAATATGCTTATCCAGCGTTACGTTTGTCTCTGTTGGCGAGACGCACCAAATCCAGCTTCTCTTTCTCATTCCCAGAGGTGTTTTTTTAAGGGCATACATTTTATTATTTTTGACGCTTTGTTCAAATGCAGGACTGTGAGAAAAGATGTTATAAAAGAGGATAAACTAAATATAAGAATGTGAGAACAGCAGCTCGTGGGCACCATAAAATGAATTCTCGGACACACAGTTGAAGCACGTGGGAAGGGGTTACCACCTGCCCTTAGGTCTGTTGTTGCCTATTTGTCTCAGGAAAATGACACCTTATTTGGCGCTGTTGGCACGCCATAGATCAGCTGCTGATAGGTGGCGTTTTAGCGGGGGCTGGGCCTGAAAATAGGAGGGTACTTTGGGAGTGGGTGAGTGCGGGGCCACTCCCCTGTGATGAATACGATGGCCTTGCGTCCCTGTCACTTTAAATCAGCTGCGGCCCCGGCATGGCTCCAGTTTTTTTAGCCGTCCCGAATGCCAAATACCACTTCAACACGGGCACTCTGCAGAGGGTGGGCTAAACATTCACCTCCCCTGGCACTGAAGTGGCACAGTTGTGTTATGTTTGAACAGTTTGCACCCTCTGGCTATTCACTCCACCAATGTTTTCATTAGTGTGCATGTGAGTCTGTTTGTCACTGTGCTTCAGCAGGAGAACTTGAATGTGTGTTTGTCTTTCTGTCTTCATGCTTTCTTCACTTCCCTCGTCTTCCTCTCTGGGAGACAGTGTCAAGTGTCGGCGGTTTTCTCAGCAATTACAACACTTAGTTATAGCTCCAGGCTGTGTGGAAGCATGCATGTGTGTGTGTACAGGTGTCTGGAAGCTTAGGCAAATCAGCTGTATCATAAGAGGGACAACACTGCAGTTTGAATCACAATCTGATGATTTCCAGATGGACTCGGAGGCAAATGTAGCAAAACATCTATTTTTACTACAGCACTGAGAATGTGTATTCATGCCTACGCTTTATAGGTTTTACAAGTTATAGGTTTTAGTAGATTTACTCAAGTACATAAGTAAGTACCATTTTGAGGTAATTGTAGTTGAATTGAGTGTTTCCATTTGTTTATACTGTATATATATATTTCTTTTTAAAGTTGTGCACATATTGCAAAAACAGGTGAAGTCACTTCTCCCCTCCTCCCCTGGTACCCTTACCGCCCTCTCCCTCCCTCCCACACTCCCACAAACCTTAAATGGCATAGACACTCATTTGGACGGACGGACTGAAGCTAAGGCAGTCAGACAAACTGATAGACAGGTAAGTGATGGGGCAACTGGAGCAAAAGACGGGGGAAAGTAAAGGTGGTGCAGGATATATATTTATAAAAACACAATAACAATGACTTATAATATATATACTTACCCGGCCATACATATATACAAATATAATAATACAGATAATATTTTTATATATTACATGTTACTTGTTAGACGCTTTCATCCAAAGTGAGTTACATATTCAATACTGTGGGCAATCCCCTCAGGAGCAATTTGGGGTGAAGTGTCTCAGGGACACAACGACATGCTGACTGCAGTGGGGTTTGAACCTGTGCTCCCCTGATCCGAACACCAACGCACTAATCCACTGTGTCACAGCCTCCCATATATATATATATATATATATATATATAACTTGGGCTAGTTTTAGATTGTGGGTGCTCTGGTGAGTTAAAGGGGGGTGGGGTGGCAAGAGGATTGCAAATATTCAATATCAATTAGACTCCATAATTGCTTACTTGAACATTGCTTAAATGTGACTTAGAGAATACACATGTATTATAGAGTTGTGTATACACTACTGATTTACAGTAAGGCTGTGATGGGGATTACTTCTGTGTTATTGGCTAAAGCTTGTGAGGAGAAATCATAATAATATTAGAACAATAAAGGCTAAATCCATATTGTATCTCCATTAAGTGAGTCTGGGTTTAACAAGGCACATTTACTAATAACATAACGTTAATCAAGAACCCAATTCACAGCAGGTCACAACTGCTTGTAGGTGGCAAGTGAATTACACATATTAAATTTCAATTAGACTCTATACTTGAATATTGCCTTAGTGTGACTAACAGAATACATGTATAAACATAATTACCCAAGTGGAAGATGCGTTAAGAGAGTCATATTGCAGGATCATTCTACACAGTAAGGAGTAGCATTGAACTAAATGTTATTATCTTCTTGCTGTGTTAGATTTGGCAAATGTTCTACATTTTGGAATTTTTTTTCTGAAAGTTCAGCCACTCTTGCTTTTTAAGACTCGATATATCTGGGTAGTTTTTCGAAAGGTCAGTTTGTGAGCGTAAAATGAAGAAGTGTACAATACTGTTTCCACCTCGTTTAGCATGCAGAATGAACAAAGCTTGTTCTCCCCGGGCGGTTCACACTCTCACACCTACGAGCCGCCCAGTTTCCACATCTTCGCTCCTCTGGAACGGCGGGGGGGTGATGAGCCCTGCTCGAGAGCACTTTAATGGTAATTGTTAAGGGACAAGAAAGCAACTTCAACAGCTTATAAAAGGGTCCTAATCTAATTCAAGGTATAACCAACCTGCAACAATATCTTTCTTTTTCCACCCGCCTGTTTTCTACCGTTTACAAGACATGTGGAAAAGCCACTTACTGATAATATGGGAAAATCTCCCAGGCTAAGTAATTAGGCATATTCTCTTGGAGCCAGTCTCAAGCACAAACAAAAATGGCGAACACACAAAGATTTCATTTTATGATGTTTAATTTCTAGTACAAAGAAAATGTGTTGACTAATATTGAAAATACATCATGATGTTTGACCATTTTCTATCTTTTTCGAAGCTTTCATATATTTTATTTCAAAATTCTAACCGTACATTGACTTTTGAAAGTCATCTTTTGGAATTTCAAAAAGATAGTAGAAAGATTTGACATTTTATGTTCATTTTCAGGTTCATATTTGTATTTTGTGCCTCTTCTGTGACATGTCTCCATGCTTTACTGTTCAGAATCTCTTTGGAATTTTAGCCTTTGCAGACCACTTACATGCACAAAAGAGAAAACCCAAAAAGCATAATAGGGCAAATTTTAAACATTAAACATGTTAATAAGTAATGTGCAAACTCTGATGCAGCGCACAATTACAGTAAACACATTGTTTTATTTTCTCAATGCTCAAAGCATTAAGTGTAAGTGTTGCCATGACAATAAGAACTAGAAAATGCATTTCCTGCTGAAAATGTGAACAACACTGTGAACATTTGTTGCTGAATTTAGCTGAAAATGCAGAAAAAGCTGAATATTTGATTAGCTGAATGGTCTCTGTAGCTGCTTTTAGCTACAAAAACCAAGTAAGTGTGTTGCTGAACTTAGCGGAGAAATGCAGAAAGTGAAATGATTTGAATCAAAATTGTTACAGCCCAAATGCATTGCAATGACTTTGTTCAACTTGAAAGTGAAATGTTAAACTGGAAGAGTAGGATAAATAGTGAAGAAGCTTAATATTTAAAAGAAAAGGTTTAAAAAAGGTATAAACAACTAAATGTATAGCCTCAATGTCCTGAAATAGCTGAATACGTTAATAGTTGAATGGTTTCTGTAGCTGAAAGTAGGCTGAAGGAGTTAGATAAATGTAAGTAGTAGTGAATTAATGTGTATTAAGAAGAGAAAAGAAAGTAAAAAGGCTTGGAAAAGCAGCAAAATATTTTAACTGCAAACTTTTCGACTAAACCCATATGTCACCAATAATGTATAAAATATGTGGAACATGTTGAAGTCAGTATGAAGTCTCCATCAGACAGAAAATAATAGGCTGAGACAGTCTTTTAGGCCCCAGCTCCACGGGAACCCATACGGCAAAACGCATCGGAGTAACGCAAATGCAACCGCAAAAAACCTTCCGCCCACACGCAATATACACCGGATTGTGTCAAGCTCCACGAGACGGCTCCGTTTACATCCAACCGCTGGAAAAGCTGCAGTACATATGCCGAACCTGTACGTGGCGCTGTAACTTCCTCCACAAAAGCAGCGAAGAAGAATGGTTGTCATGGCTGCACTTCTGTTATTCTCCGCGGTGGGGGCGGAGGGAACCGCGCAGAGTTTTTCGCTGGTCAATGTGTGTTAAAGTTTAAATCTTCATGCTTCCTCATGCAGCAGCTGATCCAGTAAGTAAACCCGACAGTAAAAATAAACATATTTATAACTAGTTTAGGTAGTTTGAGAGGTAATTAAAATAGCTAAGGGTGGTGATCTGACTTGAAGTGTGTGTTTTGCTCCCGCTGCTTCACAGCCGGAGGAGCTGCGTGTCTCCGTCCTGTCAGATTAGACTTCACTCGCGTTTATGTCCATATCGAGATAAAGATAAATAATCTCAATTCAGTGTGCAGTGTACTTTTGCGGGGGTGAGCAGCAGAGGTGGGGAGAGGCGGGGAGAGGCGGGGCTATGAAACGGATGACTGTATAGGCGACCCCACGGCCCCGTTGGACCCCCCAGAG